CGAAGAGAGGCTCAACATCATTAGTCATTAGGTAAAGCAAATCAAAACCACATTGGGGGCACCTAGGTGGCTCAGTAGGTCAAGCATCCTTTGACTCTTAATTTCAGCTCAGGTCATGATTTTGGGGTCCTGGGATCAAGCCCCATGTTGGGCTCCACGCTCAGTGTGGAGTCTGCTTGTCCCTCTCCCTCTGCTCTTTCCCCTGCTCTCTCTCTCTCTCTCTCAAATAAATAAATAAATAAATAAATAATAAAACCTTAAAAAAAAAAAAGAACCACACTGAACTGCCAGTTCACACCCAATAAAATGAGTAATCAAAATTACAGACAATAACAAGCATTGAAAGATGTCGGAAAATGGGAATCCTCAGACACTGTTGGTGGGATTGTAAAATGGTGTGACTACTTTAGGAAACAATTTGGCAGTTCCTCAAAATGTTATATACGTAAAGCTGCCATATGACCTGGCAATTACACCCCAGGTATATGCTCAAGAGAAATGAAAACACATGCTCATACAAAAATTTGTACATGAATGTTCACAACAGCATTCATAATAGGGAGAAATAAAACAAATTCCATAAACTGCTGAGTGGATAACTGAAATGGGTATTGTCCATACAATGGATATCATTTGGCAATAAAAAAAAGTACTGTTATATTCTATAACACAGATGAACCTTAAAAACATTATGCTACGTGAAAGAAGCAGTCACAGAAGACCACACGTTTTATGATTTATATAAACTGCCCAGAATAGGCCAATCTGCAGGGACAGAAAATAGATTAATGGTTGCCTAGTGCTGCAGGTCTGGGGGATGGGGAGTGACCGCTAGTAGGTATGGAGTTACTTTTTGGGGTGATGAGAATGTTCTAAACTTAGATTGTGATGGTTACATCACCTTTCATTTACCAAAAACCATCTGATTTTACCTTAATAGGCGAAGCTTATGGTACATGAATTATCTTTCAATAAATACGTTAATACCATTTTCAATAGCACCCAAAATCATGCAGTATGTTGAGGTAGATTTTACAAAGTATGTATATGACCAGTTCCCTGAAAACTATAAAATATTAGTAGGAAAAGTTAAAGACATATGTTAGACTGAAAAGTGAAAGACTTAAACAAATAGAGAAACATATGTTCAATTATTAATGACTCAAAATTGTTAAGACGCCAATTCCCCTCAGAGCAGTCTATAGACTCAATACAACCTCTGTCAAAATCCCTAAAGACTGATTTTTAAAGAAAGTCTATTTTGAAATTTCTATGGAAATGCTCAGGACCTAGAATTTGCCAACACACTTTTAGAAAAGACCAACAAAGTTGGAAGACTCACACTAATTTTAAGATTCACTACAAAACTACGATAATCAAATCACTGTTATGAGAGTAAAGGTAAAAAAATCAATCAATGAAACAATATAGAAATATCTGCATATTTTATGTGCAGTTGCACATATATGGGCAATTGATTTATGGAAAAATGCCAACAAATACAAATATAGTGAAAGGATGGTCTTTAAAAAAAAAAATGTGGTGCTAGAGCACTGGATAGAAACTCAGAAAAAAATGTTTCACTATCCTTACCTTATACCATGCAAAAAAATTATCTTGAAACGGATCGACTTAAATATAAGAGCTAAAACAAATGAACCATAAGAGAAAAAAATGTCAGGGGTGCCTGGGTGGCTCAGTTGGTTAAGCAGCTGCCTTCGGCTCAGATCATGATCTCAGGGTCCTGGGATTGAGCCCTGCATCGGGATCCCTGCTCAGTGGGGAGCCTGCCTCTCTGTCTGCCACTCCCCGCTGCTCATGCTCTCTCTCTCAGATAAAATATTTTTTAAAAAAGAGAAAAAAAGTCAAATTGAACTTTATAAAAATTAAAAACTTGTGCTCTTCGAAAAAAAATATTATGAAAAGGCAAGCCATGTACTAGGAGAAAATACTTGAAATAAATAAATATATTTTAAAGATTTATTTATAATAATATATAAGTAATATATAAACTTATAAATATATAGATTTTATATATTTATATTATATCTATACATAAATATATAAGATGTTTATATATTTATATATATATATTTTAAAGATTTTTATTTATTTATTTGACAGAGAAACAGCAAGAGAGGGAACACAAGCAGGGGGAGTGGGAGAGGAAGAAGCAGGCTTCCCGCGGAGCAGGGAGCCCTTTGCAGGGCTCGATCCCAGGACCCTGCAATCATGACCTGAGCCGAAGGCAGACGCTTAACTACTGAACCACCAAGCCGCTCCAACACTGGTGAATCTTATTGCATATAAGTTATATCTCAATAAAGCAGATATAAAAAAACAACTCAAAGAAATGGAAACAATGAGATCCAAACCTACTAAATAAATGACAGTAGTTTAAAATCCAACCAGTCCCACATAGTTTGTTCACTTCCTTACTCACTCATTCATTATATGCCAAGTTTCCACAATATACCAGGCACTATTCTATAGGCATTATGGTGAAGGCAGTAAACGAAACAGGCAGAGTCCTTGCTCTCTTGAGGCTTAGATCCTGGCTGGGGAGAAAGACAAGGCACAAATGAAGACTGAGCCAGTGATGGGTCCCATGCGGGAAAAAGTGATTATCGAAGGGTAGGAAGAGGGGGTGCCATTTGTGGTCAGGGAAGACTTCTTCAGTGGGAGGACATATGAGCAAAGTTTGAATTGAAGATGGGGGCAAGTGTGTCCTTCTCATGGGAACATAAAATGCAAGACTCCTAGAAAGGGGTATGTTTGGAATTTTCAATTTACAGTCAAGAAAGCCAGTGTTGTTTGAGCAGGGTTAGGGAGGGGAGAGGAGCAAAGGTTGAGATTAAGAGAGGTTTCTGCAGGCCAGAACATAAAGGATCCTGGATTTCATTCGAAGTGAAATGGGAAGCCACTGACCTAAGTGTTCTAGGAGAGAAGCAATGTGGTCTGACTTTTGTTTAAAAGGATCCTTCTGGGGGTGCCTGGCTGGCTCAGTCAGAAGAGCATGCAACTCTTGATCTCGGGGTTGTTAGTTTGAGTCCCACGTTGGATGTAGAGATTACTTAAATACATATTAAAAAAAAATTAAAAGGATCCTTCTGGCAGCTGTGCACAGAATAGATCAGGAGTTGGGGAAAAGTTTTTTGTAGATATTCGGTAAATATTTTAGGCTTGTGAACCATATGGTCTCTGCGGAGACTACTCAGTTCTGCTGTTACCAAGTGAAAATAGGCATGAATAATACATAAATGAAGGCGTGTGGCTGTGTTTCAGTAATACTCTATTTACAAAAAAAGGCAGTGGGCTGGGTTTAATTCTGCAGTTTGTTGAACCCCGGAATAGACTATAAGGAACCAAGGGTAAAGGGTAGGTAGACCAGGTAGGAGGCCCTGCAATAAAACTGAACAAGAGGTAATGGTCACCTGGACCAGGGTAGAGTAGGGAGGTGCTGAGAGGTGGTCAGACTGGTTGGTGTATGTTTGAAGGTAGAGCCAACAGGATTTGCTGGTGATATGCGGTGTTTGAGAAGGTTTTTGTCCTGATTAACTGGAAGAGCAATTATATCCTGGGGGAGGATCAGGTTTGGGGGTGGGGAAAGAGATTATTGATAAAAATCAAGAGTTGGGATTTGGATTTGTTAAGTACGGGTTATCTCTTAGGTATCAAATACATCGAGCAGGACAGAGGATCTGGAGCACAAGAGAAAGAGAGAGTGGGTTTACAGAAATAAATATCAGAGTCTTCATTTGTATAAATGGTCTTTAAAACCCTGGCAATTAATGAGATCTAGGGAGATCTCATGGACAGAGGGAAAAAAAGTTTAAGGACAGTTTTACAGATGGGCCTCCCAGGTCTTCAGGGACAGATGATACTGGTCTTACCTTCACTGTTCCACCACATGGAAGGAGAGAACACTCCATCCCCCTGTTCATGAGGCTAGTATGCCTTGACACCCACATAAGATAAGGAGTTTATATGGGACAACCTCACTTATGAGTATATAAGTTTTTTTTTAAAAAGGTTTAATATATTAGCAAAGCAAATCTAGAAATTTATAGTATGATCAAATAATGTTTATTTTAGGAATGCAAAGTTGACGGACTAGTATTCTATTAATATAACTTACCACATTAACAGGTTAAAGAAAGAACCTATGATTATCTGAATAGAAAAGCATTTGCTAACCATTTATGATTAAAATGAAGAAATCCCAATTTTAAAAGGGAGAGGACTAGATGGGGACTTCCTTGACCTGAAAAAGGGTGTCTACCAAACATGTCATACTTAATGGAGAAACATTAGAAGCATTCCTTTAAAAATATACATATAGTGGCTCCTGGGTGGCTCAGTCAGTTAAGCGGCCAACTCTTGGTTTCAGCTCAGGTCAAGATCTCAGGGTCAGGAGATCCAACTCTGCTCAGCATGGAATCTGCTTAAGACTCTCTCCCTCTCCACCACACTGACGTGCATTTGCTCTCTCTCAAATAAATAAATTTATAAAAATATACATATATATCAAGAATGAAACAAGGACATTTACCGTTATAATCTTACTTTATACTGGAGGTCCGAGACAGTGTAGTTGGATTAAAAAAGACACAAAAACTGCCATTAACAACGATGATTTGCATAAAGAACTCAAGATAATTAGAAAAAGAATTTCTGGATACACAATCAGTATGGAAGTCATCAACAGTGTCCTGTCACCAGCATCAAAAGGCTTAAAAACGTGATTTTGAAAAGCGGTTAATTTGCCCAAGGTCACACAGCTCGTAAAGGGTGGGCTGGGATGGAAATGGGGCTCTCTGCCTAAGTCCAGGGCTCTCGGTCACGTGCTATACGGCCTCTCAGGCAGGACCGCCCTACTGCAGAACAACTGTATCCTCCCCTTGATGTCTGTCCATTCCCACCCAGGGGGTGAGGCCTGAGCAGGGCCTCCTAACGCCCCAGGGCAGGCAGTCTCCCTAAGCCTGCGGGGAAAGGCTCACCATGGGTAGCACAGAGGCCTGAAGCGAGGCAATGGTGATGGGCTTGGTCTTCTTGTCTTCCTGGCTGGCTGGGGGTAGGATTTCCACGAGGTTCATCTCTTCTTTGGCTTTCTCCCCCAAGCAAATCTGAGAGCGGTTGGAGACAGGCCACCTCGTCACCGGAGGGCAGCGGAGGGAAACCCTGTTCCACCTTCTGGGACCAGAGAGTCCCCCCTGGCCCTCCGCAGCTGTCCAAGTCCCTCCCGGCTGCATCCGACCACCCTTCCTGCGGGGAGGCACCCACCGTACTGAGCAACAGCTTACAGTCCTGCTTCCCCTCCTTCTGGGCTTTGACCGTCCAAGTCCGTTTCTCCTGGTTTAGCTCACAGCCTGCGAAGGGAGGGGAGCGAGCGGGCCGGGCCGGCTCAGGGGAGGGGCTCCCCGTCCCCCCGAACCCCCCACCCCCCGGGCTCGGGAGCCGCCGGGCCCTCACTCACCCCAGAGCGTGGCCCTGGGCGCCTTCTCCGCCGCGCTGCTCATGCTGCTGAGATTCATGCCGCTGGGTGCGGGAGCCGGGGTCCCGGCGGCTGTGCGGAACGGGCGTCCGCGGTGAGCCGAGGCCGGGCCCGCCGCCCCCGCCCGCCCGGCGCCCAGCGCGGCCACCCGCGTCCCGCCCCGCCGCCCCGAGTCCAAGCCCCCCGGACGGCACAGCGGGGCAGCCCCGGGGCCAGCGGAGCGGGGCGCTAGACGCTTAGGTCGCCCGAGCTGGAGAGGGAATGGGAGCCGCCCCGGCGGGCCCTCCGGGTGTCCTGGGAGCCCCGTCGGTGCCGTCGTGGTCCCGGCTGTCCCTCCCCTGGGCCGGGCCCTCTCGCCAGCCCGCCGCCGCCTCCCGCGCTCGGGCCTCCTCCCAGCCCCACCTGAGCGCCGCCGCCCACTGCAGGCTGTTAGGGGTCTCGCGAAGGAGCAGCAGGGGGGCGTCGACTCAGTCTTAAAGGAGAGGCCCTTCTTTCCCCATTCGACTCTGCTATTCCTTCCTCCTCTTCCTGCCTCGGCGCACCTGGACGGCTTGTTAAAGCGCAGGGCCGGGTCCCATCTCAGCGGCGCCGGGCGATGGAGGGCTGGGTGGGGCCAAGGTCATTTGCATTTCCAACAGGTTCCCAGGTGAAGTTGCTTGCCGCTGGTCCAGGACCAGGCCTGAGCAGCACCTTCGGGACCACTGGGGATTCACCAAGGCCTACTGGGTGAGACCGCTGAGCTTAGACTTGCCTCGCCACCCCATGGGAAGCCGCTTTAAGGCTTTTCCTGCTCGTCGCCGTCCTTCCTGCCCTTTCCCTACCCTCTAGGTGCGGGCCCTTTCCAAGGCCAGGAGGGTCGGTCCCCCAGGGTTATGGTCCCCAGAGAAGAGCCCTGTTTCCAGAAGGATGATTTCTCCCATGGCGAAGAAGGGGTGGGGATGAGTTTGGTCACCAGAGAGGCTGCTGTGGCTGCTGGTGAGGAGTATACCTTATGAGGACCAGTCACTGAACAACAGCCGTTCACAGGGCTCAGGGCAGCGCTTAAATGTTTGTTTCGGCGCGGTAGGGGTAGTGAAGAGGAGGAGGCTTTCCAGCGACCACATCCCCGTCTCTCTCGCTCATGTGACATCTCTGAAGTCAGAAATAACCAGGGATCTCTCTGATTAAATTCTTTTCTTTCCCTCCCTCCCTTCTTCTCTCCCTCCTTCCCCTCCCCTTCCTCCTCCCCTCTCCTCTCCTTCCCCTTCCTCCCCACCTCTCCTCTCCCTCTCTTTTTCTCTTTCTTTTTCTTCTCTTTCTTCTCTTTCTTTCTTTCTTTCTTTCTTTCTTTCTTTCTTTCTTTCTTTCTTTTCTCTCTCTCTCTCTTTCATGAAGTATAGTTGATCTGATTGCATTTTTATCCTTCACTCCCATCCAGGAAACTTCTCACCTACAAATAAGGTTCAATGCTTTTCAACAAAAGTACCAAGGTAATTCAATAGGGAAAAGATAGTCTTTTCCAAAAATAGTGCCATAGGAACTGGACATACCTCTGTAACCTTGATTGGAGCTTCTGCTGTGCAGGAATCAGGTTCTCCCCCGCCCCCAACACATCAACTTTACTGAGAAATAATTTATGTACATAAATGCACTCGTTTAAAGTGTATAATTTGGGGTGCCTGGCTGGTTCAGTCAGTGGAGCAAGTGATTCTTGACCTCAGGGTTGTAGTTTCAAGCCCCACTTTGGGTGCAGAGATTACTTATAAATAAAATCTTTAAAAAAGTGCATAATTTCGATGAATTTTGACAAATGTTCATAGCTGGGTAGCCACCACCACAGTCCAGTTATAATTTCCATCACTCTCCCAAATTTTCTTGTTTCCCTTTGCAGTCAGAATCCTCACCCTAATGTTTAACTGGCATCAGGCAAGCACTTACCTATTCTGACACTGTGGATCATTATTGACTGTTCTAGAATTTCCAAATAAGTAGAATCCTACAGGGTCTTTTCGTCTGCCCTCTTTTGTTGAACAAAATGTGTTGGAGACTTATTCATCCATACCGTTACTTCTATCAGTAGTTTGTTTCTGTTTTTGTTGAGTACTATTCCACAATTTGTATACCCAGTCACCTGCTGGTCAGTTTTATGTGTCAGCTTGACTATCATACCCACTTACTCAATCAAACACTAATGAAGATGTGGCTGTGAAGGCACTTTGTAGAGGTGATTAACACCAATAATCGGCTGTCTTTATATAAAGATTACTCTCAGTAATATGGGTCGCTTGATCCAATCAGCTTAAAGGCCTTAGGAGCAGAACTGAGGTTTCCCTGAAAAAGTTCTGCCTGTGGACTGCAGCTTCAGTTCCTGCCAGAGACCTTCCAGTTTGCTTTTCCTGATGACCTGCCCTCCGGGTTTCAGACCTGTAGCTAGCCCCCATAACTGCATGAGCCAATTCCTTGTGATACGTCTCTGACTCATACACCCTTTGATGGATATTTGGGTAGTTTTTAGTTTTAGACATATATTATGAATAAAAATGCCATTAACATTAGAGAGCAAGTCTTTGTTCGCATGGATTTATGTTTTAGTTTTTCTTTGGTAAATACCTAGGAGTGGAATTGCTGGATCATTTTGTAAGCATATATTAAACTTTATGTGAAACTGTAGAACTATTTTCTGAATTCCTGTACCATTTTGCATTTCTACCAGCAATGTATGAAAATTCCAGTGGCCATTCATCTTCATCAACACTTGGCATTGTCAATCTTCTTAATTTTAGCCTTTCTAGTGGATGTATATAGTGACGTCTATTTATTTGTATTTGTTTGATGACAAGTGATGTTGAGCATCTTTTCAAGAGTTTACTGGTCACTTGTGTATCTCCTTTTGCAAAATACCTGTTTAATATTTTGTCCATTTTTAAATTGGTCTATTTTGGGTTATTGTTACTGAATTGTAGGGATTCTTTATACACTTTGGATACCTGTGTTGTGTCATGTATATGCATTACAAAGGTTTTTTATTCCTGCCTATGGCTTGTGTTTTCATTTTTTAAAATGGTATCTTTTGAAGAGCAGACATTTGCAAATGCAAAATTTGATGAAGTCCAATAAATTTTTTTCCTTTTATGGCGCATGGCTTTGGTATTCGAAGCAATCTTTGCTTAACCCGAGGTCATGAAAGTTTTCTCCTAAATTTTCTTCTAGAAATCTTGTAGTTTGAACTTTTACTTTTACATCTGTGATCCATTTGAAGTTAAATCTGTGTGTGGTGTTAGGTAAGGGTCGAGGTTCAGTTCTTTTTTTCTTTCAAGTGGATCCCCAGTTCCTCCAGCACCATTTTTGTAAAAGACTATCCTTTCTCTATTGAAATACCTTGGCACTCTTGTTGAGAATGAACTAAGCATGTACATTTTGGTCTATTTTTGGACTTTTTTCTGTCCCATCGATCTGTCTGCCCCAGGGCCCACACTACAGTACTGATTTCTGTAATGTTATGGTATATCTTGAAATCAGGTAGGGGAGCTCTCCAACTCTGTTCTTCTATTTCAAAAATGTTTTGGCTATTCTAGATTTTTTTTTTTTTTTTTTGCATTTTCAAATGAATTTTAGAATCAGCTTGCCAGTTTCTACAAAAAAACTTTCTGGGATTTTTATTGGGACTTTGTTGAATGCATAGTTCAATTTAGGGAGAAATGACATCACAATTTTGAGTCATCCAAACTATGAACATGTTATGATCTTTCCAGTTGTTTAAAGATTGTGCTCTGCAATGTTTTATAGATTTTAGTGTACAAGTTTGGCACATAGCTTGTTAAATTTATTCCTATGTATTTCATGTTTTTTGGATGCTAGGACAAATAGTATATATTTTGAAATTTCATCTTCTAATAGCTTATTTTTAGTATATAGAAATACAGTTGGTTTTTTATACTGACCTTGTATTCTGTGATTTTGCTAAATTCGCTTATTAGTTCCAGTAGCTTTCTGAGCCCCAAATCGTGACATCTGTGAATAGTTTCACTTCTTTTTGATCTGTGCACCATTAATTAATTAAATGCCTATGCGCTCTGATTAGGACCTCAAGTACAATATTAAATTGAGGTGGTAAAGGAGGTACTCTTTGTTCTTGATTTTTAGGGGAACCATTCAGTCTTTCATCATTACATTCTATTAGTGGTAGGCTTTTCGTAGAGGGCTTTTAATTGGTAAAGAATGTTTCCTTCTATTCCTAATTTGCTGAGAATCTTCATGTGTATTGAATCTTGTCATGTGCTTTTTCTTTATCTACCGAGATGATCAGCTTTTTCTCTTTCTTTTTGTTTATACAGCTAATTACATTTATTGGTTTTCTGAATGTTTTAAACCAACCTTGCATTCTTAGGATCAATCCCATTTGGCCAGGATGTATTATCCTTTTCATATATTCCTGGATTTAATTTGCTTATATTTTAAGATTTTTTGCGTTTATGACGTGTATTAGTCCAAAGGCTTTTTTTTTTTTTCTTTTAATGTCTTTGTCTGGTTTTGGTATCAGGGAGATGTTTGTTCTATAAAATGACTGGGAAGTGTTCCCCCTTGTTTTCTGATGTTTTGTCCAAGAGCAGGGAAGTCTCCTTAGATCAGAGTTCCATTCAGGTTCACCAAGAGCTCTGCACTCATCCCCATACTGTTTCATGCTTCCTCTGCCTTGACTCAACGGCTGCTCCATTCTAGAACCTGGGAATCCTACCAGAACCCTCTATCCTTTACTCTTCACATCGAACAAAGTCTGTTGATTCCAACCTCCACCCCCTATCTCTCCAGTCTTTCTCAACTCTCACCCAACAGTCCTTGTCTTGGTTCAAATCCTCATTACCCGCTAGCTGGTAGATTCAACAAAGATTGGTCATTAGCCTGCTTTGTAATGTAGCCTCTGGAAACTTGAGGCTTTTCGGATCAAAGCCCAACCTCTGGTGCCCCACCCCTCAACCAGACACGTATAGAGCTAGCTACACTTTTCCCTCCAGCCGCGCTATTTTTGCAACTTCTAGAAAGGTACAAGGTTTCATGCTTCGG